AAATTGCCCCCTTTAGTGTGGGTTCGTGGCACGAACCGGTACTATAGGTTAGACCTTTAGTACCGGTTTGTGTCACAAACCGGTACTAAAGGGGCTCGTGGGGACCCGGCCTGACGCCAGCCTGCCACTACCCCTTTAGTACCGGTTCGTGGCACGAACCGGTACTAAAGGCTCAACACGAACCGGTACTAATGCATATGGTGCCTTTAGTGCCGGGCCAACTTTAAACCCACACTAATGTGTCTCACATTAGACCCTTTTTCTACTAGTGCTACTTTCATTTAGAATAATAAGAATAATGCTACATCATCATATATAGAGTATTTATGTCCATGATTAATTTCCAATCTTTTTTCTGAGACGAGATTTGACAAAACCGTGGCTTCCATGCAAATCCAAAAAGCTAACAAAAGGTGACCGGAATTTTCTTCAATAATTCCAGACAACTGGAATAGACATCCACAAGAAGTTCATCATTCAATCACTGCAATTATCAAAGCAGTATGGCACAAACCTTTGTCGATCTGCTATATACTTTCTCTGTAAAGAAATATAAGAATATTTAGATCATTAGTATGAAGGAAGTATTAACTAAAGCAACCAACACAGAGGGCGGAGCTTTTGGCGCTCGCGCTACAGGGGGCTCGTTATCAGCATCGTTGGTGGCACGTCGTGATTCGCAAAAGACAGCCTGGCCTGCGTCGTGTTGAACTGTTCACGTTTGTATTCATCCGAATACGGCGTTATTTGGATGGACTTGGCCCAGCCAGAAATTGTAACTGTGCTGGACCGAATGCGAGCTAAGTCAGGTGACGCTGGTGTTCAGTGGATTTTTTTCATGATAATATGTGTCGTATTTATATCGAAATGATCATAGTACAATCCGCGTACACATCGACCTAGTAAAACTGAACAAATAGCATAATACTAACCTTTGCATAAAAGAACAACAGCCAAATAAAATCGAAGAAATCTATGAACTTGACACCAACATCCGTCATCTGTCTCTGGCACTAGCACAACAACCACCAAAGAAAAAAGTGACGGATCACCTTCATACCTGAGCTCAACACGCCTCCATCGTTGATATACAGGGTCTTTGCCACGATGTGGTCAAGAAGCACGGGTGTAACCTACATTAGTTGCCGCCCTGGAGCAAACGAAGGGAAGGATTCACAAGTGCCTCGATGACGAAGTATGAGAAAAGAAAATTGAGTTTTGGTTTTCTTATTGTGAAATTGCTGTGCTTGAACTATGTAAAGGAATACAACCCTCTCTCGATACAAGCTCTTATCCCGTTTTATATATAAAGCAAGCACCGAACCAAATACACGGCCGAACAATACAAAAAAAATGAGGTAGCCCTCAAACAATGCCGATCCCAGATAACCAGATCACGTAGAACACAACTACGCAACAAAAAAAGAGCATTTGAAAAAGTGAATACAATGCCACACTCAGCCCTAAACACCTAATCTCGACGAGAACGCTCTAGGAGGGAAAACAGCGGAAAGCGTCGCCACTGTCGAGTCCAGAAGAGACAAGGGTTTTCACCCGAAACCCTGACACGAAGAGGAGGACCATGAGTCCACGACGACGTAGCGGTACCCGCAAGTGTCGTCGTCTTGTGCGACAAAGCGTAGAGCTTCCGTTCGGCAGCTCCCGCGTGCCACCACTTTCACCCGAAACCCTGACACGAAGAGGAGGACCATGAGTCCATGACGACGTAGCGGCACCCGCAAGTGTCGTCGTCTTGTGCGACAAAAGCGCAGAGCTTCCGTTTGGCAGCTCTCGCGTGCCACCACTTTCACCCGAAACCCTAACACGAAGAGGAGGACCATGAGTCTCAGCCTGAACGACACGAGCAAGCTTTGCGGCCCGCTCGTGGCCCGTTCAGGACCGGACCGTATGGTCTAGGCCCGATAGAAAAACATGACGGTCCGGGCCCAGAAATACAGACCGCGAAAAGTTCGGTCCGGTCCGGTCTTTAACCGGGCCGACCGAGCGGACCGATGGTGCAAGGCCCATGAAAAGGCCATATGGCTAGACAGAGCGAGCGACCCCCCTCCCCTCGTTCCATTCCCCCTCCTCCTGGCTCGATTCCCTTCTCGTTCTCCTCACAGCGCCTCCTCCTCTTCAATCCTCCTCCTCTCCAATCCCTAACCCTAACCCTAAGGCGACGGCGCCGTCGCCCGTGACCTCTCCCCTTCACCGACGGCGCCATCTCGTATGAGTCCGAGCTGGAGGAGCACGTGTACGTCGGGGACGCAGCAAGGCCAACACGCCATCGGTCCCGTCTTCCCTGGTTCCTCGCCGAGTGCCACGAAGAGGAAGAGGTAATGTTTGAACAAGAAAATTTTGTCCCACTAAGAGTTTCTGAATTTTCTGAAGATAGTCTCCCTCGCCGAACTGAGATGATTCAGTGGTAGAGACTTAGATAGGAGATCTGGAGATGTAGTGTTTGAACAAGAAACTTTTGTCCCACTAAGAGTTTCTGAATTTTCTGAACTAATGTAAGAGTTTCAAGAGATGTAGTGTTTCAACGACAAACTTTAGTCAGGAGATGTTGTGTTTCAGCAAGGTTTTCTATGCTATAATAATTAAATAGTGTGCAGCATATTCCTGTGCATTATACATTGTGCATGACATATTAGAGACCAGTGGTAGATTTCACCAGAGAAGAACAACTAGGAAAGCTCCGCTGATACACTAGTAATTTGAGAGTCAACATCACTGTACAAACACATACAAACATGAATTTTCAGATGGCGTTTGCTACTATGGTGACTGACAGTGAATCGTATGGTTACGGTTGATGGCAATGGCATGCCTGAATGCATTTTAGCAAGAGCAAGAGAATGCCAGTATATGCATATGTAGTGTTTCAATAGCAAACTTCAGTCAGGAGATTATACTGACAACTGACAATAGTTTCTACAAAAATGCTTGATTGCGCACTATTGCTAAATGACCATATGTTTGTTTGCACCAGTACTAGATGATTTAACATGTTTGGTCAGGAGATGTAGTTCTAGAGAGTAGACAGTATGTGCCGAACAAGGTTTTCTATGCTACAACAAGAAGAAGATGAATTATTTGCACTTGATGGTTGATGTACTGACTTTGGATATTATGTGCTGTTTTTTTGTAGAGAATGGTGAAGGAGAAGAGGAATGAGAAGGGAAAAGGTGCTGGTAAGGAGAATGGGAAGGCGAAGGGTGCTGGTAAGGAGAATGGAAAGGCGAAGGCAAAGGAAAAGAGCTTGAATTACCTAATTAGGCAAGATTCGGCGCTACCTCCACCGGTTCCGAGGAAGAAGAGCAAACCTAAGGTGCAGATTAGGAAGGCGAAAGACTTTCCCAATGCCCCAATGGGAGAGTTGATTTGTAGCTTAAAAAAACACCCTCCGCCTCCTTCGCGTCTCGTCGACCGCACCAGTGCCGGCGTGCGTGCCGCGGAAGCCGCTGCCCCCGGCTCCGCAACCGGCTCCGAGCTGCCTCATGCATCTACTATTGTATGATTGCTTTACTTGATGCTTGATGTAGCCATATTTC